TGTTTAAACATTTTAATCAATAAAGCATCACATTCTTCGAAGCATCCAATACTATAGAGACTTGTACAAGCTCATTGAAGACAAAAGCCTGAAGGTATGATTTATGATGAGCGGATGAAACTAGATCGAAAGGCTCACGGAACTCTCCGACAATGGTTGGACAAAAATGTGTTTTACCATGTGTTGATGGAGACATCAGCTAGGTCATTATGGGATAAGATGCATGATCTATACAAGAAAAAGACTGCATGAAATAAAGCATTATTGATCCAATAATTGGTGAATATGAAATTCAGGGACTGTGATTCTGGTGCAAAGCACTTAAAATTGGTGCAAAGTAATGTTAATCAACTCGTAAATATGGGGTTGTTCCTAGATGATGAGTTATAAGCTCTGTTTTTGCTCGGTTCACTACCAGAATGTTGGAAGACATTGGTAGTCTCTATAAGTAACTCAGCACTTGCCGGGATATTGATCATGAGTCAAGTAACTAGCAACTGCTGAATGAGGTGATGAGAAGAAGATCATCAGACTCATCAAATTCACAAGTTGTTGTCACAAATCGAGGAAGATCCAAAAAGGCAAGAAGTATTGTTTCCTCTACATAACACATGTGCAAATCTCCAATGGCATGGAAGACCCTCATTAGATCTATGGCATAGGTGTTTCGGCTATATATGAGTGAAAAATAAATAAATATCTTAGCACAGAAACATATTCTTCCTTGTGTCAATGATGCATATCTGACCCCATGTAACTACTGTTTGCTAGGCAAACAACATAGAGTCTCATTCTCAAGTAAGAGCTTTAAAGATACGAAAATTCTAGATCTGGAATCCCATGGATGTCAAGTAGCTTAGTGGTGCATCACAGTTTGTCATCGTCACCGATTATGCTTCAAGAATGTGGATATACTTAATGAAATTGACAGAATGGATGTTTGAGGTCTTTCAGAATTTCCATGCTAAGCCATTAGGAGGTTGAAGCTTATAAATCAGGCGTTGTTAACTAAATGTGGTGGAAATCCTTATGTAAAGGTGAGCAATTATGGAAAGGGGTTTTAGTTTTTGAGTATGGGGCTAATAATAATGGCTTTATCAGTAGGGACAGAGGAGGACGTTATCGATCTTAGATTTGGAAAGGCATTTTTGCCTTAGGAGATTTGGTTCTAAGGAATATTAGATGGGCGATTGGCAAAGTGATACGGTGAACTTCTGGTCCCATAAATGACTTGGTGATAGGTCTCCTAAGGTAATGTACAACGATCTTTATGATTAACTTCTAATCAGATGTCAAAGGTATGTGAGGCTTTTACTCGCAATGAGCACCAGGTGAGTTGGTGTTTACTTATTATGGAATCCCAAATGTGGTGATTGCAAAGTTCACTAATCTGATGAATGATTTGGAAGGGGTATTCTAATGATGGTATCTTATCTGTGAAATCTATATATCATATACTTTTCCATGATCGTCAGAGATGGACACAACCAGGTTTGAACCAGATTTGGAAATGGCATATTCCGCATAAGGTACAGATGTTTTTATGGATTTCATCTTAAAACAATGTCCTAATTGTTGATAATATGAGTAAAAGAGACAAGTTAATCATTAAAATATGTATTTTGTGCAATGGGGATGAGGAAATTGGGATTCACTTATTTTTGCACTGTCCTTTTACTTATCAACTATGGTTGTGGCCGTTGGATACACCGCTACCTTCTTGGCATACAGATATTGTGCAACAATTAAGTTTACTGGGTTTGCCTAAGAATGGGGTGGTTCTGTGGGGCTTTGCTATGGGAGGTATGGCTGGAAAGAAATAGGCATATTTTTTGGGATTTGTTCATAATTATCAAAAATTAAAGATAAGATTTTTCATAATGTGTGGTTCTAGTATTTTAATATGAAGGAAGGTGATGGAGTGTCTAAGGTAGATGTCGTTCTTAATTTGTGAAAATTGGCTGCGCAATTGGTTTTTAAAGTAAGACCGAGAGGTAGATAGATACCTCTATTGCATGGGTGTGTGAAACTTAATTTTGATGGTAGTTCCTTTGGGAACCCAAGGCCCACAAGGGTTGGAGGTGTAGTCTCTAATTCAAGAGGAGAAGAGCTCTTTACTTATTCAGAGCCGTGAGGTGAGGCTACAGCTAATGAGGCTGAGGTATTGGCATTGTTATAAGGACTGAAATTACTGAGATAGAGAGAGACAGATGTGTTGATTTGTGTTGGATGGTGGAAGGGAACTCTTTAAACATGATTAATTGGTGCAATCGAGTTGAGAGACCACCTTGGAATTTGAGGGGTGTGTGGATGGAAGTCTTGGACCTTTGTCAATTCCATTTAGTAGTGTTTAATCCTGTGGAATTTGAGGGGTGTGTGGATGGAAGTCTTGGACCTTTGTCAATTCCATTTAGTAGTGTTTAATCCTGCCTATAGGGAGCCTATTGAGAAGGCATATATGTTGGCCAAAGCAAGGGTGCATTCGGTTAATTTAGTTGTTTCTTCGTCTGAACCACTATAATTTGGTGTAATCTTTTTCCATTAATAAAATCAAGTACTCTAGTGAAAAAAAATGTGCGCCTCGTCATATTGAACCGGGTACGATGTGATCTTTTTTTATTCCAAATTAAGTCGTAATCAAGGCGAATGACCAGTAGTACTTCGAAAATAATTCAGTCCTCTAGGTTCTTCAGTTGCTTCATTTGCTAAGATTAAGGCTCCTTTTGGGAGTTGATAGCTTAATGTAGATAATGGATTCAGGGCAGCACTCGACTGCGCATCGTAGAACATTCCATTCATTTCCGCCACATGCCGGTTTTTGGGCTTGTTTTGCATGAGGGTGCGAGTATAAAAGGGACAAAAGGCAAGTACCAAATTGGAGAGCACTGACTACCAACACCATATCATGGAATTGGTGACGAATGAGATGAAAACCAACCACTTTCAAAATGGATTCTAAGTAGGGCTGGCAATTGACCAGGCAGCCCGGACCTAAAAAACTAGGGCTGGGCCACATATTGAGGCCCGAGGTCCTGGCTAGTTTGCCCTAGCTGGGCCACACCCTCTTTTTCCCTTACTTTTTCTTCCATTTTTTTCTTCATTTTCTTTTTTTCACACAATATGTATGATTTTAAATTATGGTCCAACCAACATACCAGGCCAAGCATTATATCCCCCATTCTATTTCAGACATCACTGATTTTGTTTGAGATGGTGGAAGACTGGAAGTTCAATATGTAATTGTTGCAGGTTCAATTGAATATTTATTATTTGAGTCGACTAGAAATAAATAAAGGGATGGGAAGAGAAATCTCTTTTGAGTTAAAAAACCTTTCTATTTCTCTTAACACAACTCTATAAAACATAATAAAAAACCAGATATCTTTGGGTTGCGATGGGTTGTCTTCTGCTTTATCCCATTAATGAAGGAGACCACAGGTGAAAGCATTATAAAGTTTTCAATTGTAATGAGAAAAAGAACACATCTTGAGTCAAAAGAAGGAAATGATTATACCTTTGAGTCAAAAGAAGGAAATGATAATACCTTTGAGTCAAAAGAAGGAAATGCATATCCCTTTTAATATTGAACAAAATACCCATCTTATGGACCAGTGCTCCTGTTTGTTTTGGTGCATTGTGCTGTAATTTCTTCGCAGTCAGTCTTTGTTAACAAATGGTCAATATGGCTGTCTATTTCACCTCAGTGCCAATTGCCAAGTATGGTTAACTAACCCTTTTAACTCATAAAAAGGGTAAAAGAAAAAGAAAATGCATGTGCCATTAAAAAGTTAGACAATGTCCAAATTTCTCGTTTTGTTGACTAGTGGCTAGATGCCTAGTTTGTAGCAGTCAGTCTCAGTCAACAAATAATTAATTGAAGTCAGCATATTTTGACCTTTAATGCTAGTATTGCAAATTACCAACAACCCTTAATGAATCTTTTATTGACACAACAGAGAGAGATTAATGTTTTACGCACACAGTTTAGGGAGCATCAACATCCAAGGAATCCGAGGGTCAGATTTCCAATATCTGTGATATTGCCAATTTCCGCCATTTGGCAAAATGAATATCCTGGATACTGAGAATCCAACATAAGCAAGACTCGGAAAGATCCACTTCTTTTCTGATTTCCATGAAATTTGGTCTGGCACTTGGGTTCCATCCTATCAGGACCACTCATTCCTCTACGCGATACCCTTTTCAATACTCTCCCTCTCAATACTCTCTTCCCGTCTAAACTCTCAGATAAAGAATAGTCAGAAAACCCCATCCCTGATAGCAGATCGACGGGAAAAATCAGCCACCAGAATCTGCATTTCCATTCCCGAAGACTTGTCTAGGGTTCTCCTTCGGTGTTGCCCATTTGCCTTGTGTTTCACCGCATTACTTTTGCACTCATGATGAACAGCCCCCTAAACTTTCACGTTTCACTCTCAAGTGAGGTGCTGCCGTGAAGGTCAGGCATGTAACAGCCAGAAAGAGAAAGTCAGAACCTTCCCTCTTCTAAAAAGTTTACAATCAGTGATGTTTCAGATACGAATATCCCCCTTTCAGATCTACGGCCTTCATGATCGTAAAACTCTCCAGACTTGGGAAGGGGTGCTACAGCACCCAACAGTTTTCAATAACATGAACCTTTAGGTCCAGACAGAAAATGGAGTAGCTCCTTCAAAGGTATCACCATGGTTTCCAATATCAGAGTGCCTTATTTCAGATTCAATATAAGCATCCATTTTAAACTAGAAGGAAGCAATATTGGTGTTGTAAACTCATTTTCAGAATATAGCTCCAACGTACAGACATTTGGTGATTGCTATCCCCCCTAATATGCCTGCAGTACCAACCCAAATCAAGGTTGCGAGTATCAAAACCTGGGGGTCCCTAGAATTCCACCCATGAACATGAGAGCGTACAGCAAAACATTGAGAACAAAAAAAAATCATGCACGCATACTTGTGTATCTTGCTCGCGTTACACCAACAAGTAAAAGTAGAAGCGATATTTAAAAGATATTCAATATAGACAAGTTAGAAGCTTCCCAACGGATATGTAGTACCCATTGCATTAAATGGATTAATTTCAGATAGAAAAGGAAGCCTTCCATATATATACAGTTACAGAGTAAAATGAACAGGTTAGAGTGACGTATAACAGACAAGACAGAGGCCGACCATCTTCACCAGTCCATAAGCATATATAAATTTCCCTCAAGATAGACACTTATCTCCGCATAAAGTTGCAGTGTTGTTTTCTTCTGCATAAGGTTGCACTTCTTTCTTCTTCCACATGAAGTTGCAGTGATTTCTTCGTCATGATCTTAAATCAACCAGTTATGGTTGGAGTAATATCTTTCCAAGTCGCATGATATTAATGGATACATACAACAGCCCATCAAATAACACTGGTCTTTTGTCCATCCTGATCTTAGGGCACATTTATGATATGTGGTGGCTGCTCCAATTCATCCTCAGATGCATCAAGCTCAACTTCAGGAGCTTCCTATGGAACATTAGAAACACTAATAAGCAATTGTTAACCTACACCCATAGGGTCTGCTTGGATGGCATGTAAGTCACAGATAGTAACTTTATACACAGGGCCAGTATAATTAGGTGTTCTGAATAAGCCAGTATTTATAACATGCCAGCCTTGCTTGTATGGCAGGCACACTTTTAGGCAAAAGTGCAAAACTACAGAAAAGGTGTTTTACCCTTATGCCCAGTAGAGAGGTTCGGTGAGGCGCATTATGTGTCACACCCAAAAAATGCTAATAAAAGTGATGAGACTAGTTTTTTGCACATGCACAAATGATTCAATTACACTTCAACTACAGCACACAATTACCTGAAGGAACACGGGTGCTTTAGTACACATATTTAATGTTCCAATAGGCTAATATCACACAAGCAAGGACCAGCCCAACCAAATCCTCAACAGGAAATCTCAATCTTCATGCTCCAATTTAGGGCCTCAGGTTAATAAAAGCACTACAAATAAGAATGTTACAAAAACTCATATCTATTTTTTTTTTACGCGTAAACATGTGCGCATGCACACGTGCACAGAGAGAGAGAGAGAGATGTATAGATCACAGATGTATGCATGAGAATGTGCATGTATAAGCTGAGACCAAAATTGAATCCAGGAGGGCTTGAGCAATTTATTACCTGCTGCCGATGCCGGCGATGGATAGCAGCCACAGCTCGGGCCATGATATAAAATGGCAAGAGGATTCCAGCAACCCTTAAAAGAAACAGCTGTTCAATAGAGCCAACAAGTTTGGTACGTTAACAATACGACCTCAATTCGCACATAACCATGAGAATCTCCAAACTTGAGAAGAAACTAATCTTATAATCTTAGCTTTTTAACTTCTTACAGTGAACAATGTGAACGCATACTCCTCAGCCCCACCGATCAAGAATGGAAGTGTATGTCGAAGAATCAGAAGAACTAGGAACTGCTCTCCAAAAGAAAGAAAAAAATTACTACATAAACATCCTAAGTATAATGGAAAAGCAGTCACACACACACACACACACACACACACACACACACATACATGCACACACATGTGCATGAACACGAACGCAAAGTAGTCAGTAAGTTAACATGTTGGTTAGAGCACTAACAATTACAGCAACCGAGCGACAGCAAGTCACACTCCTTGAATTTGAAGCCGAATAATCATCAAATCCAGTGTTCAAGAAGTTGCGGTCTGTTGAAACCATAGCAATAAACTGAGGATTTTGCAAGTCTAATGGTTGTCTAGAGATCTCCCAGCTTCCCCTAGCAACAATGATGAGAGATCAATAGTTGCATGGCCTTCAAATGGAAAAAATTATGAAGGAGTGTAAATAAAATGGCAGTTCTGTAGTCCATCACCAGTACATCCCCTAGCTAATGGCATGAGTCATGTGAAAATGTGGGAAGAAACTTAACACGGTAAAATAAGAAAGAATGATTTTTCGAAATATAAACTAGTACACTGTCCCACAAAAACAAATTTGGTAAGAGAGAGGATATTCTCTTATAATCAACCCAAAAACAAATACAAACTATTACATTAAAATAATAACAAAATCAATTTGTAATATATGGTAAATCGATCGGTCACAGAAAGATGGCAATAATTTGGGTCACTTATAAAATTTAATTTTATAATGATCATGTAAGATTAGCTTGTTTCTGATAATTAGGCCTGTTTACAAACAGTTCCATCAATTTGGCAACTTCTGAAATCCGTAGACAGTATGTAATTTTAATCATTAACGAAATCATTCGGAAAAGCACGAACCACAATCACAAGGAATGAATTATGCCCAGAACCTTAGCACAGAAAATGCAAGTTTCCGTGTGTACATGTGCTGTGTCTGTGAGCTATTTCTGTGTGTGTGTGTGGGTGTGTATGTGTGTGTGTGAGAGAGACAGAGAGAGATGGGGAGAAGGGGCACAAAAGCAAGATCAGAAGATACCTAAAATTAGGAAGACCCCCATAATGAAACATCTTAGGAGGTGCTGTATAACCCGGCTGAAATTGCTGAATTTCGACCACAGAAAACAACAGTTAAAAACAAAAAAATTAAATAAACAAAATCAAACAGCTTACTAGACTGAAGCATTAAAGAAGATGCATGACCTCCTCATTGACACATATAGAAGTAGCATATGTTATTATGCCGTCACAAACTGCAACTATCGAAAAATAAGGTGCAAGGAAGAAGAGGAATTCGAAGAAATCACTAACCTGATGGCAAATCTCACACATGGTGTTGCCCTTCTCATTGCACCACCGTTGAACACATTTGCGATGGGCATACTGCAACAGGTAATTTGTAAGAAAGAAGTTCAACCTTTCTGAATATTTCCTCTCTTACTTTTCTCTCTCATTTTCTGTCTTTTCTTTAAGGTAAACACCCAAATGTAAATGAAAAACAAGCAAAATGAATGTTAAAACTTGGTAGAAAGTTTCAAATCTGGAAAGCAAGAGAGAATCATAAACTCTATGAATCCAATATATGATTACGGAATTTTAACCTTCACACAAAGAGCAGTTCTAACATCAAATACCATGAAGACAAACACAGGGAACAGAAACTTGAAATTCAGATAAAATCCCACATAAAAATAAAAAATTAAACTAAAAAAAAAAGAAGATAAAATCCATGATAAATTGGATTGCAAACTCACCCAAATAGGGGCATAGAACCAGAACCATGGTCATTCAAGCAAATACCCAGTCTGGTTATAAACTCAAATTAGAAGATCACTCAAGTTATAGGCCCCATTTAGATAATGACTGCATCCTCCCAAGCTCAATTTATACATTTATGATAATAAATCAAGCAGTAAAACGTACAACCAAGTTAGACGGGCGATAAAGGAGAGGTCGAAACTATCACATGCCTGTTAGTGAAATCAGCAATAAAACAGTTTCATTTATTGATATAAAAGTAATCCAGGAAAAGGATCGGAATTTAGATAAACATTGAAGAAAATGTCACCTAAGAACAAGAATGCAGACAAGAAAAAGGATTGAATTCAAGTAACAGGAGAAAGAGAAACAAAACACATATTAACACATGCTTGACAGTTATAAATTTTCTAACATAGAACTGTAATTTCGGGAAATTGGGCCCGCATATAATGTAAAACAGATATCAATATTCAGACTAGAAACCCAGTAAAATACCATTTAAACAAATCCATAATAACGACATTCTTTATGTTTTTTGTGGTTTAGTAGTTATATTGCCACAAAATAAATTTACTTGGAAAAAAGAAAGCAATTAAGAGAAAAGAACACAATTCGAATAATCAGTGAAACTCTTTAAAATTCAAAAACCATTTTTGCTAAAGAAAAAGAGAATCAACTAAAGAAAGATCTGACCTCAAATGAACAGTGAAAAACATACACAAAAAAAATCCACAAACTTTAAAGTTAAGAAAAAAAATTTAAATAGACCTTGATGTTCTAGTTAAAACCAGATTTTAAACTCAAGAATAACACTAGTACAAACAAGGAAAAAAAAGGAAAAGGGGGTGAGGGGGACATCCAAACAAAATTAGCACAAATCACAAAAGGAGAAAGGCCAATTATTATTCCTAACAATTACAATTTAAATATTTTTGAAATATTTAAACATTATTTCATGGCCTATTCAGAAGCTAAAAATTTACCTTCAAGCTGCCACAACAAGCACAAGGAGTCTCCATGTTACAAGCCTGGTCTTCATCTTGACATATCCTGCACTCTACCACTTTGAGGGATGATCCCTTCCTATTGATCCCCATTTCTTCAATTATAGGGTTGCCCGAACACTGCCCGAGGGCCTCAGAATCACCGCTCAGGCATCGTACCTGCCCGAGATTCCTGCTCTCGATCATGGCCTCCAGGGTAGAATCGGTGATTAACCGATCCACCAATAACACGAAATGGTCCCCCATATTATTTAAGCTAACCCAAAATTTGAATCCAAAGCTCCGAACCAGACAACCCCAACTCCTTCGGAATCTCTATTATCCCTATATGAAAATCTGTATTTTTCCAAGTGTGCTTAAAAAGGCCTGAAAACCAGAACAGAACCCAGTAATCAGATCTCTCTCTCTCTCTCTC